TTTCCCAATTCGATCGTGCGCACTCCTACAATTTTTTTTAAAAATAAAATAATAATAAAAAAATTAAATTGTTAGAAATGTCACAACAAACCTACACAAATTAAACAAAATACGATAATCAAGACTTTTAATGTAATTCACTATAGTAAAAGAGCATTTTTGCGACAATTTTTCTTCTTTTTTTTTTCCTTAAATTTATATTTTTCGTTACTAATAAAATTAGAGATTGAATCAGAGAGTGTTCAGAGCTAACGCTATATGTTCTTAATTTTTGTTATAAATAAATATATATATATATTTTTGTAGTGATTTAGAGATTTAAAAGCATTAAATATTTTATTTAAAAATAAAAATGCAAATACAAATATTGAAATGAAAGTAAATATATTACTCCCTCCGTCCCACATAATTTGTCCCAATTTTCTATTTTCGTCCGTCCCACATAATTTGTCCATTCCTTTTTTGGAAAATATAATTATACACTTTAATCTCATTTTAAATCTTAATTAAACTCTTATCTTAATCTTAATCCACAATTGTTTTTATTATACGATAATTATTTTTACTAATACACTTCTTAATTACTTACTAATCACATTTTAACTAAATTCCCGTATCTACAGTAATAGGCCCATAATACATTGGATGAAGGGAGTATAATTTAAAACGTTGAAACTAAAATTTACTAAAAATAAATATTTATCGATGATTTTAGTAATTAATAATACCTTCGACTTTTTGGATGCAACGCTTGACTTGTCTCTCGCATCCTTCGCAATGCATGTATACTTTTAACGTAACTTCAACCATTTCGGCCTAATATTATCCACATAATGATTAATAAAAATATTATTAATTATAATTATATTTTTCCAAATCATATTTATTTATAATTAAATGTACAATGATTATAATAAAAATAATGATTATTACATTTTCTTTAACATACAAATAACAATTTTGATACTACAAAATAATCTCACTTAATAAACTTTCTAAAGTACTATTCCCTTCGTCCCACATAAAATATCTACTTATTTACTTTCGTTATTGTTCGTCTCACATAATTTATTTATTTTATAAAAATAATTATACATTTTAATCACGTTTTAAAAGTTTCATAAGTTATAAAAAAAAATTTAATCTTAATTAAATTAAAAGTTTCATAATTTATAATTACTTTTATTATAACATAATTATTTTAAATTCTCGTATCTATATTAAAATGGACAAATTTTCTTGAAACAGAGAAAATATTACTTAATTTTTTGTACATACTCTCTACTCTTATCACACATATTTACGTAATTTTTATTAATTGCGCGAGTATATGAAATTTGTTTGAGTATGTTTGCTTTGTGAGATTATTGAAAAAAAAATTATTTGAAGTGCTCCCTCTATCATTCAAATCTATACTCACTTTTCCCTTTGAGTTGTCATCGAAAAATATTCTCATTTTTTTTTAAGTAAAAAATCATTCTACTTTTGTATTGTTTTTACTATAAAATAAAAATAATGATTATTACTCACTTTTATTAAAACTCGTGTCTGATCAAATGAGCATATATTTGCATAAGTGAGGAAGTGTAAAAAATTATATAGAGAATATAAAAATAATGAATGTGTAATAGGTACCTTAGGAAGAGGGGTGTCGTCGGGCTGATTTTTTGGAGGTAATATTGGAGAAATTAATTGCACAAATTTGGCAGTTTTTGTCCTAAGCCTTTGAGCAACTTCAAATGGATCTGCTCCTTTTCCCCTAACCCTAACCCTATTCGACTTCCTGTCCATTTCGATTTCCTCTACACCTTATATATATATATATATATATAAATAAATAAAATCAAAATCAAAAAAAAAAAATCAAAACAAACAAGAACCTGGGAATCCCCGAAGGCATCTGAGGACTTCATTCTCACAGCCTTCACAGTGTAGGTATACTTTCAGAACTATTTCTTCCTCCACCTCCTCCTCATGATGATCACAGCAACACTATATATATATATATATATATAACACAAAGTACAATAAATTAGATTTATTAGCGTCCGTACACTACAAGAAAATATCATTTTTGTAACGAAATTTTTTCGTCGTTAAATTCACTTTTTCCGTTACTAATGATATTATAGACGAAATTAATGATGAAATTACACTAGCTACGTGATCTTTAGTGACGGAATTCCGTTACAATCATACTACATAAAAAAAAAAATGGTGAATTTTATTACCTCAGCCATGGCTTTCTACTCTCTTATGTCCAAGAAGACTTTGTGCTTTTGTATAGATAGATAGATAGATAGATATATATAGGGACAGGGGGGTAGGGGGTGGAGGGGGGGGGGTTTAATTGCATTAGTTGATTTGTTTTGATAATAGTAATAAATTTTTTAATATTTAATGTAATATAAATATATATTTGATATACATTGTATTTGGAAGGAAAATAAATAAATGTAAATGTATGATATAAAATAAATTTTGGTTGGAAAAGATAAATTAATTATTGGAAATAAATAGTAAAATCAGAAATTGAATCACGACCGATCAAACAAATTAATTTTTGGGATTTTTTATACTTTGCATTTGGTTATATATTTTTTAAAAAATATAAAGTAAATAATATTAATTTTAATTTGAAATTATTCTAAACAAATCCTAAGTTGTGACAAAAAAAAAAGGAGTTATATTCATATGTTTTGTCCTATTTATTTTATTTCGATATAAATTGGAAATAATTCATTCAACAAACCAAGTGTTTACTTGATGGGGTAGTTGTGCATTTAGGTTGGCGTGACAATAATTTAAATTTGGAATATTGCAAAAATAAATTGAGGACAATTTCCAAAATTAACTTATGGAAATTGGAAAAATAATTATTACTTTACTTTTCATTTTGTTTTGAATCAATTTTGATTTTTCCAAAATTTGATTGTAAGGGTAACTATCATATTTATTTGATTTTATTCTATGGTTAGAATTGTTTTAAATGATTGAATAACTATAAGAAAGATACTTTACTTTATAAAGCATTATATATATATATATATTAATTTATTTTATTTGAGCAATAAAACTGTTATTTTTTTTACTATTCTATCCGTCATTCAAATTTATTCTTATATTTTTATTTTTTTTGTCATCTAAATTTATTTTCGTTTCTTTTTTAGTAAAAAAATACTCCCTCCGTCCCAATACAATAGTCTTGTTTACCATTTTTTTTTTTCGTACCAAAATAATAGTCTTATTTCTATAAATAACTATATCACTATAAAACTACAATTAATTTTTCATTATTATTACACAATTGCCACTATTTTTTACACTAATATACTCACAAGGGCAAAAAAGTCTTTTACCTATACTTTTTATTCACTACCAATATAATATCAATATTCCTTAAATCTCGTACCGAACACAACCCATACTATAATTTTGGGATGGAGGGATTACCACTTTTCTTTACAAAATAAAAATAAAATTTTTTATTCTTACATATTTTTCTTAAAATTTGTGCATAGTGAAATAAGTACACAATTGATAACAGAATGAGCATTTTATTTTTTCACTATGTAACTTACGTAGTAGTTTTTTTATATATAAAATAATACTTTATTTTATTTTTATGTTTATAAATTTCATATATATGATGAATATTTTATTTGTTTCAATATTTTTGTTAATAGTTACGTCATATGATTTTTAAATGTAATATTGTTTTAGTAATTTTCTTTTTTTATCCTTATCTTTTATTTATAATATTTTTTTAAAAATGATTAAAAAAAATTTGAGATTTTGAATTAAAAAGAAAGGAACTGCATAATGTCTAACTTACTAATTTGTTTTAGTTTGGTTTTGTATTGGGGTTTTATTTATGAGTTTTACTTAAAATATTATTTTAATATTTTAAAATAATATTTTTATATATTAAAAATATTACATTAAATACATATTTATATAACATCAACAAATGACTATTCAAAATCAAACTTAAAATCGAAATCTCATAGACAAACACAATCTATTAAGAGTGTGTTTGTTTGGGGTTTGAATTTTGAGTTGGGATTTGAATAGTAAAAATTTTAAATTTGAATAGTTGTAAGATGTGATATAAATAGGTATTTATGTGATATTTTGAATGTAAAATTATTTTTTAGTATAATATAAAAAATAAAAAAAATAGGTATTTGATTTGATATTTTTTGGAGGAAAAAATGAAATAAATAGTACATTTAAAATTCAATCCCCCCAAACAAACACACCTTTATTTAGCAAAATACAATACAATTTTTATCTCTCACAAAACATCCATAAAATATTATTTTCATACCAAATTTAAACCAATTTATTTTCTAAACTCATCAAAAGAAATACACCATAGTTTTTGGTATTTTTGTGAGATACAAAAAATTATACTCCTTCCGTATCATACAAATTATCCATTTTTCCTGTTTAGTCTGTCTCGTAACAAAGTATTCATTTAGTTTTTTTTCAGTAACTCTGCTATATATCTAACATTATAAATATCCTTACAATTTAACATTTATATCACACAATCTTAATAGAGTTTTATTTTATTCAAATTATATATTAATATAATATTAATATTTTTTAAATTACGTGCAAAAGTAATTTTAGGACGGGGGAAGTAATATAATTTATATTAATATTTGTGTGTTTTTATAATTTCGATAATTATATATATATATATATTTTGTAGGAGAATTGTTTGTGCCTACAAGTGAACCCAAATAATTCCACGAATCACAAATCCACCTTAGGCCCATAAATACTACACAAGGCCCGAAACCAGGCCCACTCAAAAGCCCAGTCCATCCCATAAACGCCACGCGTCAAACACCCAAGACAACCACGTGTCCTCGCCGCACAAAATGACCTCCCTATTTTCCCGCCACGTGTTACGTCCTCAGACAACGATAACAGTAACAAACTTCCCTTTCAACGACCGACTCCCCTCCCCTCTCCACTCCCTTCCCAAGTTCTCCAAAAAAACGAAAAAAAAAAAAAAAACCAAAACAAACACAACCCACAACAAAATGTCCGGCGTAGCCCTCTCCCCCGACCAGCCGCCGGCGTCGGCGCTCGCTGCGAAGCCCACGCGCCGCCAGCAGCAGGCGTCGCTCGGCGGCATAATGGGGTCGCTCCGGCTCATCGAGCTCCAGCTCGTCGCCTTCATAATGGTGTTCTCCGCCAGCGGCCTCGTCCCCCTCGTCGACCTCCTCTTTCCGGCCGTCGCCTCCGCCTACATCCTCGCGCTTTCGCGGTTCGTGTTCCCCACGCGCCGCCGCCCCTCGCCGCTGGAGCCCCGGATGTTCGAGGGGTCCCTGGTGTTCCGGGTCTACGTTTTTGTGGGGACCACCGTGGGCCTGTTCCTGCCGCTGGCGTACGTGCTGGGCGGGTTCGCACGTGCCGACGAGCAGGCGGTCCGGTCCGCGACTCCGCACCTGTTTCTGCTGTCGTTTCAGATATTAACGGAGAATATTATAAGCGGTCTGGTGCTGTTCTCGGCGCCGGTCCGGGCCCTCGTGCCGCTGCTGTACACGATTCGCCGCGTATTTGTGCTTGTTGATTGGGTTAAGGATGTCTGGATCGATAAGACCCTGCCTTTCAATCCCCCAATTCAGGTAAATTAATTTATTAATTGTCATTCTCCAAATTTGTCACTGCGAATATCTTGTTTGAATTTGATGGAATATTTTGTAAAAAAAAAAATATGTTTTTTCTTGTATTGGATTGTATATGATTGTAGTTTCTGGGCATAATATAATATATATTGATAATGTTCAACTAATAGGATGTAGTGTGGTATTGGTTCGGGCGGGGATTGGCAGCGGCGAACTTGGGATATTTCGGGCTAAATTTGACGTGTTTTTTGATACCGCGGTTTTTGCCTCGAGCCTTCGAGTCGTATTTCAAGGAAATAGACGACGAGACCCATGCCAAGATGGCTCAGGACAAGCCTCACCCAACGCCAGATAACAACCACCTTGACGATAAGAAAGCTGATTAATTCATTTTTTTTTTTCTTTTTGTTTTTTTTATATATACATATTTTTAAAATTTATCCTGTTCAGAAATGTTTGCATGTAGTTGGCTTCTTCTTTTTTTTTTTTTTAAATTTTCTTGTAATTGAAAATGTTAGAAAGACAAAGTGATGCCTATATATATTATATGTATTGAGCAATCTGTCTAAGAATTGCTTGTCTCAATTGGATACTTCGGTTGTGTTTACTGGTTTTGGTTTTGGTTTTGAATAAAAATTTTTTTAATTGAAATAATAATTTTGACGGGATATTTTGATTTTAATATAATATAATAAATAAAAAATAAAAGTTTGATTTGATATTTTTTTTAAAAAAATAAAATAATAAAATAAAAAAAATTCACAATTAAACACACATTTTTTTAAGTTTAATCTTTCATCTCTCTGATCATTTTTACTGAAAAAAGAAAAAAAGAGAAGAAAAATTGAGTGAAGGAATCCCAACTCAAGAACTTTTGGAGCCTTTATTTTGTTCCTAGTTCAAACTCTAGTTCAAACTCTGGTGCTTACAAGTTTTGTTTGTTATACCTAGTTCGTGTAAAACTTCAAATGCTTTCAAATTTTGTCAGTTATACATAATTTTGCTTAGTATAATTTGTTTTATCGACTCTAGTTTGCAGATTATTATATTCAATCGAAAATTTATCTTCGTACATACTTTTCGGATAGCTATTGTGAATGAGTTTTCTTATTATTATAAAAAAAAAAAAAAAAAAAAAACACAAACAAACGTCTTAGAATTGAAATGAATTTTTTTTTTTTTGGAATTGAAATGAACTTAAAAGCAAGCAGACAGAGCTCCATGTTTCCATCAAATTTGAATGAAGCTGCACAATTGATACCATTACTACCAATTTAATAAAGATGATTTTAGAATTAGTGATAAACACATTAAACTCAACATTCCCGAGAAAATGGCCCGGAGAAGACGCCGTTGCTTTTTTAATTGAAAAATATTTTTGTAAAAATATACTCTTTTCATCCCACATAATTTGTCCATAATTTTTATTTTCGTCCGTCCACATATCTTGTCATTTCTATTTTTGAAAATATAATTATTCACTTTAATTGTATTTTAGATTTTAAATTTTATAATTTTCTTAATTTTAATTAAATTATTTACTTATCTTAATCTTAATCTATAATTATTTTTACTAATACACTTCTTAATTATTTGCTAATTATACTTTACCTAAATTCTCGTGTTTATAGTAATACATTCATATTATATGGGACAGAGGGAGTACTAAGGTGTCTTCTTTTGTAAGATCTTGCAAAAATCTTATTATTCATCTCATTCCCCCCCTAAAACATCAAATCAAATATCTATTTTTTATTTTTTATATTTTACTACTAAAAATTAATTTTACATTCAAAACATCACATGAACACCTATTTATATCATATCATAAAACTATTTAAATTCAAAATTTTTACTATTCAAATTCCAACTCAAAATTCAAACCCCCAAACAAATACACTTAATTGTTTGATAATTGGTTTTTTTTTAAATTTTTTTTTTTTCATTTAAATAGTAATTTATAAAGTATAATATATATACTCCTATATTTATTATTTTTTCAACTTCTTTTTTAATATATTTGGCTGTATGGAATATTTTATTTATTATTATTAAATTTTTTTATAAAATAGAAAGAATTACAATACAAAAATTTGAAAAAAAATTTATTCAACCTATATATTCGTTTAAATTTATACTCATTTCTTTTTTTAAAATTATTATAAAAAAATATTAAATAAAAAATTATTATATTTTTGTATATTTTTTATTTAAAAAAATAATAATAATTATTTATTTTTCTTAAATTATTTTTACTTAAAAAAATAACATTATTACTTATTTTTCTTAAAATACATGCTCGGTCAAATGAGCACACAATTAAGTTTAAAAAAAAATATTAAATAAAAAATTATTATATTTTTGTATATTTTTTTATTTAAAAAAATAATAATTATTACTTATTTTTCTTAAAATACATGCTCGATCAAATGAGCACACAATTAAACATTTAAATGAGAGAGGGAGTCCTAAATAATAATTTTGAAAGTATAATTAGAATTTTATATTTAATATACCGATAAGATTATGTATAATCGTATGATATCAAACAAACCGATGTTAAAGCATTAATTTTAAATTTATTTTTCACTAAAAAAAACATCAAATAATAATTTTTGGAAAAAAGAAAAGGAAAAAAGAGGTCAGATTTGAAGAAAGAAAATATTTGGCGTGTATATTTCCCTTTGAAATTGGTTTTATTGAAGGAGAAGAATTCGGAAGTGAAGTAACGAGTTCGAGAGATAGGCTCTTGAGTCGGTCCTATAAATCCCTGCCCGGTGCTAGATTTGGATTCTCCGTCGATTCTGAAGTTGCACGGGGTAGTGATGTTTGGTTCTTCGTCATCGTAGATTCTGTGCTGATTTTACAGTCGCGGTCCCAATGGCGCTATCTCTCGGCAAGCTGACGCTCATCGTCGGTGCGGGTGGGTGCTGATTATGATTGAATACGCTGAATTCTATCTTTTTGTGGTTCGAGGTTATTGAAATGATTGGGAGTGGATTTCGTCTTGCGTGATTCAATTTTGGTTGATTCTTAGGGTTTATATAAACCCTAGATAATTTTTCGGTGCTGGTATTGTTAGTTGTGGACGTGATAAGTTAATGATTATCATTGATTACCGATATGGGCTGAGAATTAGCGTTAAATGTGAACGAAAAGACTAGAGTTCATTTCGACGAGTCGTGTGATTGCGTTATAGAATGATTGTTCGTTTGTTTTTTTGATGGTGTTTCTGAGGCAGAATTTGCCCTTTTTTCATGTACGCAGGTTTCGTTGGATCAGTTCTTGCCCAAGAAGGCCGAATATCTAATGTAACTGAGTTTTTCTCTGGTGCACTGAAGGTAATTTTGGCTCTGCAGATTGTATGTGCAGGATTCGGAGATTGTAATGTTGATAATTAAATCTTGTAAATCTTTTATGAAATATTTAATATGTTAATTCAATTGCTTTTCCATCAATTACAGATTGCTTTTAAGCAACTTAGTGATTCGGCCACGTCAAGTTCCAAACCCAATAATGATTCTTTGGTGCAGCAGGTTTGAGTCAATCCTCTTGTCTTTAATAGGCTGGTTTTATTTACTTGTATACGATGTCATCCCGCTTTTTAGGTTTTGACACTAAATCGGAAACTGTTATTCTCTGTGATGTAATGTTAGATAATCGAAGGTTTAGTAAGGATTGTTTATCCAATTCTTGTTTTATTGTTGGGAATTAATCGTAACACTGAAAAGTGGAGATATATTATTGCATTATTTAGTTATTCTCTTGAATTTTTTCAATAATGCCTATCGTGGTAACCTGAGGTTCCTTGTTCATTTTAACCAAAATATGCAATAAATGATAGATGCCTGTAAAACAAAGCCTGCTATTCTTATGTTCTCTTTAATTTTATAGTTTTTTATTTTCTCCATCTATGTAAACACATGGCTATGCACTTTTGATAATTTAATAATGACAATTTAATAATTTAATGTTGTATGTAAATTGGCTATAGCAAAGTAAAAGATACTAATGTTGTTGACTTAAATGTTTTCTTATAGAATTAGCAGTTTTCACCTGTGTTAAGATGTTTTTGAATCTGCACATAGTCAACATATTTGTTTTCATCATAACTTAAATCATGGCATTACATTTCCTGATTTTTTTCACTGTAGTCTGTAGTTCAGTACTCTCCAGAAGCATTGATTGTTAAATACGATTTTATCAAGGAATTGCTTGAATATTTGACCTTGCAGGTTAACAGCCTGCGCCAGGAACTGCAACTCTTGGCTTCAAATAGATCTATGATGATTGTCACCGGAAGTCAATCAGGTTGCCTTGGGAAATGATTTTAATTTAAGTGTTGTTTCAAGAACTATAATGTTTTGTGTTACTGTTAAAGCTGTTGCATTTGCCGTAAAAGTCATTTAGTGAACTTTCTATTAGAAAGCTACTGCATTCACCTCCTACGTGTACCTTTCCATTTCTGTGCAGTCTCTTCTTTGGGAATTTGCTGATAATTATATTAATTTCAGTCCTTTCATTTATGTGAATTAAATTCCGGTAGTTTATTGCTACTAAGGTATCTTTAGTTCCTGTATAAGTCACTAGATTGTATGAACGTTTGAATTTTACATTTGTTGATAATATGCAATTCTCACCTTCTGCTAATGTTAGATTATTGTTCTAAGCCAAATAAAACCACAACAGATCCAATTATGGGGGAAATTTGGTGTATAAGTTTTTGATGCCTTGTATTTTTCTCTGTAATCTCTGTTTTTTAATTATGAATTATTAGTATTATATTGGTGGTACATACTGTGTGATTCAAGTGCCCAGCATTGATCTTGGACTTTATTTTGGCAGGATCTGGTAAATATGGTGTGGTTATCATTGTTGTAGTTGCTGGATATGGATACACGATGTGGAAGGTAAGTTTGGTACTTTTCTAATGATAGTTCATATTGTTTAGGTTTCCTCCATTTTATCGCAACACTGTTTCTCTACAAACTATTAAAATGTGACAAATAGAAGTTTAAGATACATTAGAGAAGTATAGATTTTTGAGACGTTGAAACAAAATTTTCTCATGGTCCTAGAAGTCTGTACTATTGTCGTGATAATTGTTTTATTTGATGCAAGCTGAGAATATCTTATGCTTTTAGCTCTTTAATTCCATGGGGCAGTGTGATTTACGAATAACTATATATTTATTAAATGTTTATCTGATACCAGGGAAGAACAATGATTACTTTTCGATGCTCTGTAATTGACTAATGAAGAAATTCTATAACTACAATGTAGTTAGTTGTTCAGTCTTTGATGGCTGACTTGATGAAATTTAAGATTCAACAGTTGGATCTAGACTAGAGGTTCATTATGTTGAAAATTTCATTATTACTCCCCCACATGTTACCAAGATTTCCAGAGCTTGAACAGATTAAATTGGTTTTCCTAATCTTTTTTGTAGAGGTTTTTTATGGAAAGTTTACCCAGTTGAATGTGACTGATTTTTATAAAACTGACTTGCGAAGGGCACTGCTAGTTTTGCTTTTATGAAGTGAATTACATGGGCTCACACAAACTCCTGATTATTGATTTTCATTTTGGAGTTGCTGAAGTGAATTACTTGTGAGGTTTTGGATTTTGATTTTGATTTTGAATAGTAAAACTTTGAATTGAAATTGGTGTTTGATGTGATATAAATATGTTTTATATGACATTTTGAATGTAAAATTAGATTTTAGTGTAATAAAATATAAAAAAATTGGGTGTTTGATTTGATGTTTTTGGAGTGGAAAAAAAGTTGGAATAATAAAATCATGGGTAAAATCTTACAAGTAAAGAGCCTTAATTATGATTTCAACCTATCTCCATTCTCGTCTGATTGCTTCGACTTGCAGGGCTGGAACCTTTCTGACATGATGTTTGCGACTAGGCGTAGCTTGAATGATGCTTGCGCTTCTGTAGCTAGACAACTCGAGGATGTTTACTCTTCACTTTCGGTAAGTTTTCAGTTCTGACTTCCTATCAGTACTGTGATGCATTATCTTCGGTTAACTTTTTCCAATTTGATGTATTATTATTATTCCCTCGTGTCACATTCTTTCATGGAGATTTCTGCGATTTAATCATTTTTGTTTGTTTGCTCAGTTACAACATCAATGAACATACTTGTATATATACACAGTACACTTCAAAGCTGTATGTACTACTATAGTGTTTGCTCGGGCATTATATTACTTATACAATAATGGAGTTCTTTGCCTATCAGTTAGTCATGTTGGTTTTCTGATTCATTTGAAATGTGCAATTCGAAATATTTCCCATATGATATGTATTTTATCCAATATCTTCTTCTTCGCATCCATTAACTTATAACCAATTTTCAGGCTGCTAAAAAGCACTTATCCTCAAGAATTGACCGCGTGGATTGTAAAATTGATGAATGCTTGGAGGATACAGCTGCAACAAAAGTTGAGGTAAGGCAGAACGATTAGTTGATAGTTGTTTAAATTGTACCCTTTGGTTTCTTGAAAGCCTATCGAGTTACCAATCGAGCAATTTGCATAGATCACCGAACTCCATGGAGATGTGAAGCTTATTGGAGCGAATGTCGAATCTGTTCATAAAGTAGTGCAGTCTCTGGTGATTAATCTCCTTTCTCTCACTACATTGACCTTGTTTACATGACCGCGTCGAAACTTAACCATAACAATTTTCACGATGCAGGAAACAAAGATTTGCCGGATAGAAGGAAAGCAGGTACAATTAACACCACCAACCACCCCCCCCCCCCCCCCCCCCCGGTTCTTAGCCCCTCAAACGGCTACAAAGATTTAACTATTTTGCTTTTTCCGTTCTTCATTTTTGCAGAGTTTGACTAACATTGGAGTGGGGAAACTTGTTGCCTTGGTGCGGATGAATCTCGAACAAAGCAAACGGCCAGAGCAGATCGAGGCAAGAAAAACTTATCCATACAACTTTTTATCTTAAAACCGTGATCATATTTATATTTCTAATTATTGTAATGAATTCGGTAGGCACCCGCAACAAATTCTTCGAGGCCTGTTGTCAAATTGCCCCCCGAATCGCCAGCAAGGGTAGAAGAACACTATCTTAAAACCCACTTAACAGTTTTCCTCGACTACCATGGCTGTCTCACATAACATACTTTTTATCTTTTTAATCTCACAGGCCGAATCTTTACCTGCACAGCTGTCTTCACCCGAGCCATCGACTCCTTCACCATCCGACAAATCTCTAAAGAAACAGGCAACATTCCCACCAATCAATCCTTCGAAAGTCACTCCTTCCGGCCTCAAGGTAAACGAATATTACAAAATTCACAACTTTCTCTCAATCGGAGAAACCGTATAATCTTTCGAGTCTTTTCCAGGATCTTAATGATATTACTCAGGATGATGCTGGCCCTGCAAATCCAACCACCCATCGCAGCTCAGATTCGACTGAAGAGTCGAGCAGCGGAAACAGCTCAGGCATAGCCGGTGTGTTCGGTGGAAAATCCGTCGGTTTCGGTATCGGTTTCGGCGGGGCTTCGGTGCTCACAAGAACCCGCAGTGTGATGCAGTCTTTCAAGTAGAAGGAAGGTACATAGTAGATTTTTTTGATCATATGCCAAAGAAAATACCAGATTAGATATTATTATTATTAGTTTTTTTAATGATAATAAAATTTGAGGGCCCTTTCATCTCCTATATAATCCGAAGGTAAAAAATTTTGTAGCATCATTTTTGAAACTTTGGTAATTTTTTCTGATAAATATATATTTAATTGTTATTGTGTAAATGACTTTAATTACTGCTTGGTACTGTAGCTGGGCCAATCAATATAATCAGGCCCATTGTATTATCGTATATGGGCCAGCACACTTATTTAAGTCTGGCCCATTTTACATGGGCTAATAATATTTTACAGGTCTAATTCGTTATACCCAAACCCAGACTGGGCAACATTTAATCAGGTGCATCCATTTAGGCCTGAATATTTGACTAAACAACTTTTAAGCTTTGGGCTTTGTTAATTCGATATTATTTTTTAATTGTGATTTTTTAAAAAATAATAATAAATAATACAAAATATATTTTATAAAAAAAATAATAATAAAAAAAATCAAATATTCAGTTTGTTCACTAATATTTTTAGATGAATTAATTTTTTGTCTGTTGTATAAAAAATTGTATTGATAATATAAAAAATGTATTAACAAATCGTGAATGAACAAACCTATTCATTACAAAAATTAGAAAGTGAAGATAATCAATTTAATATCCAAAGTGTATGATTATTTTGGTGCGGTTCAATTTGTGTCCCATTTCAATTTGAATGGTAACGGCGGTTCGAACAGATTGTTCCGAAACGAATAGGCAGTTCTAATTAGACTTGCCTAAAACGGTTCAAACCGTCGATTACAATTATAAACGGTTTCTGTCGGTTTCGGTTTAAAAACCGTCGAACCGCCAGTTTATATATACTATTTTTAATATTTTTTTTCTATTTTTTTAAAAATTTGAATTTTATTTAAAAATAATTAAGTTTCATTTTAATTTTATTTAGATATATTATTATTTATTTATTATATAAAAATTATATATATAAATAATTAATTAAATTTTTACAATATAAAAATAATTAAAATAGTAAATAATTAAATTATAAAAATATTGTAATAAATAATAAAATAATTTAAATTATATGTAATTAGATAATAAAAAACTATAAAATATAAATAAAAAAATATTAATAGTATTATTATTTTTTAATATTATTAATAATTATTTATATGTATTAATATTATTATTGTGATATTTTAAATTTTAATTATAAATATAATAATATTATTATAAAATACATACTTTAACCCTAATGTAGACATCACATCCACACTCCACGGACGCCACAGCCGTCCTCGCACAAAGGTTCTCCTCTTCCTTCGCCCCAGCCACGCCTAAGCCCCGCACACAGGTTCTCCCTCTTTCTTCCTTCTTCCTCAGTTCCTCCCATTTTTTTCCTTTTTTTCTTCCAACCTCGGTCCTTCTCCTCCTTCTTCTTCTTTCTTTTCTGTGCGCCTGCCTGCCCCTGCCATGGTGAGAGATTAAAAAAAAAAAAAACCAAACTGCCGGCGGTTTGCAGTTTGAGAAAATCCCAAACCGAAATCGAACCGTCTAAACGACGGTTTCGGTTCGGTTTGTGTCCGATTTCGGTTCGAACCGTAACCGCCGGTTCATAAACCGTCGAACCGGCGGTTCGAACCGACGGTGCGAAACCGAATGGGCAAGTCTAGTTCACGGGTTCAAGAATATTAAACCGAAAACAAACCGGAAAAACTCGGTCTAGTTCTGGAGGGAGTTTTTCCCGCCATTTTCCTTGCCTGCGTCGTCAAGGCGATAGGTTTTGTTTAAATCAGGACAAGGCGTCGAACACCGGAAGCACAGTGAATGAGTGAGGGGAAGCCAAAACCAAGGAGAAATGCTCGACTGATTCGAACTATAGGTTGCCGATCCATCATCGTTTGAAGTTTTGTGGGTACAGATTCAGATTGAATTCCAGCACTCGTTAGTCTTGCAAATGGAAGCCTACGGATCCTGCCGGAGATCTTCGCTTTCGTCCGTCGATAATAAGGCGTCCACTATCCCGATCTACCGCTCGGCGCCGGAGCTTGAAGTGCGTCTCGAAGATTTCGAGATTTACGCAGTTCAACGCCTTCGAGGTGTGTCTCTTTCCTTGCTTGAATCCCTTGTCGATTTGAGATTTTATGGAAAACGATTTCGCGTTCCAGTTTGAGATTTATTGTTGATGAAGAGTTGTTTAGATAGTTCGATTGAATTAGTTTTTGTTCTTGATTCGAATGAAAGTGAACGATGTATAAATTGTGAAATTTGATTAATAGCATGTGGTTAAAGATTTGAAGTTGAATTTAGTGTAAACCTATGCTGTTCTTCTCATTCATTGCTAGGAAAGTATTCTAGGAATTTATATAATTAATTAAACTACAAATATTACAAAAAATTATAAAAAATTGGAATATATATTTCGGCCGAGTTTGTGTTCAAGAAAACTGAGGAAATATGATTATATGTCAATGAGGAATTTGGTTGTTCGATGCAGTTCTAAAAGGGATTTCAGATGGACTGTCACGTGGGAAGAAACCTAATGAGATGAAAATTTTGGTACAATTAATCTATTTAAGCTTTTTTCGATTGTAATTTTTGTCATCATTGTGTTTGATTCGAGATAATGGATACAGGTAAAAGAATTGTGGGATGCTCACATGAGCCATTCATTGGATGCTCACATGAGCCATTCAGAAGCTTCTGAGGTTACGAACAAAGACATAATTTCTCATTTTGTTTTGCGGCTCGTCTACTGCAGAGAGTAAAGTTCCATCTTTAATTGGCCTTAAATATCATCTTTTGATTCGTTGAACCTCTCGAATCACAATGTTTTCGAAGCTTTCTCATAGTCTCTAATATATGATAGGGAGGAGTTGAGGAGATGGTTTCTCTCCATGGAAACTACACTTTTTCGCTATCGTTTTCTAATCGAAACTGTTGATGCTCAGGTTGATTTTGCTATCCATATTGAGTAGCCATGTTTTTTAATATAGTTATGTTTGAACTATTTGATTTGCTGGCTTATGGCATTAATCGGTGTATTAGAGAGCATTATTGGCGGAGTTTGAACTTCCGTATAAAGTTGTTAACAACGTAGAATACGAGGTAATGCATTTTAAATATATCCTGTTTATGTCCAATGTTGATGTATCTTACCAGACACTATTTTAGCCATACACACTGATTCACTTTAATCTATATATATACATATATATGGGCTATTTTTCGTCTCATTTAGTAAGTCTTTCGTGCTTTGATTTCAGAGTGTCAAAGACAAACTAAACCAAGTACTACGCTCCACCGGTCAATCTCCCAGTTGTATGTCTTTTCCGAATGCTTAATAACATTTTAAATCATTTTAGTTCTTTGGCTTTACTGACAGTTTCTGTATTCTTGATTGCAGCTGATACAGCATACTACAAGGTTTGTGCTTACCTGTTTAGCTTTAGAATTATTCTTCAACAAATAAACAATTCCAGGGCAAATATGCAATCCTGTACATTCACTCACTCGATCAACACATGCTTAGACATTTTCTAGGTGTTTAAGATCAGCCTTTTCTAGAAAGAAAAAATATTTATGGAATTTGTAACTCAACTGTAAAGAAACACATAACACAGTTCTGGCTGATTTAGCCTTGTTGATTTTTTTTTTCGTGCTGTTTTATAAATGAAGGTGCCATTTGAACAAGTTCCGGATCTAGTAGGAAGTCGCCGTGTATTTATCCTGAAGGGGTTTGCATATGTTGCAATGAACCAGGTGAACATGCTACTCAACAAACCTTAAACAAAGAAACCTTTTTTTCCCCTCATTTATTGAAGTTCAATTTGTCATTTTAGGTTGTTTCCCTCCTTGTCACACAATACCGAAGCTATCTTTCAAAGGCACTTGTATTGACAAACAGGTTTTTCTTCTTTCTTGAACTCTAATTTGTGAATTTGTCTCATCGAACCTTCTTATTATTATTTAGGACAGGAATTGTTAGAACTTCTGCAATATATACTATTATTTTCACTGGTTAATATAAAGATATTTGGTTGGTTATTGATCACCATCAAAGTTTCTACAGATTTTCCCCAGCAATTACTTTGTCAAATTTCTCTTATTTTACAGCATAATGTCATTGATCATTGTGTGCAACTGTGCATTAAAAAAAAAAAAAAAAAACCCCTTTTGGAACTTATTGAAATCTTCAGTTAAATTGTTTTTAGCATCCAAAATCACTTAAAACTTCTTCTGATGCTAATATTCAAGGTAAAAAAACCATTGTTGTATTTAGAAAGATTCCTAAAAGACTTTTTAGGTTAATATAATACCTCATAGACATGTCAATTTAATTCTTTGTGCATAGTTAGCCCGAATATTCTTTTTAGTTTGCCATAATTCTTAAGAGCTTAGTATTTTGATGCTCTAAATATCAATACCTACATTATTTACTGCCAGAAAATGGACATCCATGATCAGAGAGCAGGAAAAGGACCGGCTGACTCCTGTAAGTATTAAAATGAATTTTCTGCTATTCATATTCAACTATCATTGCATCTGATATTTGATTCACTTAGATTGTTGAGGCCCTATCAACAAGTTATTTCGGCCCAGACTATAGCCAGGTAATTTCAAAGGACTATCTAAAATAATGCATATTTATACTTAAAAATTCAAATTGGTCGATCAACTAACTCATGAAGTGCCGTTTCAGCCAAAAGACTCCACAACGGTATCCTTGAAGGACATTGATCAATTGGCCAAGAGTTCCTTTCCTCTCTGCATGCGTCATTTGTTTGAAAAGGTAACGAGCTGATCCCCCCAAACTATAATAATAGGAGCATTACTGGCCTAATAAAGCTTCGAAATGAGCTACCTTATGTACTACCATGTGCAGCTTAGAGAGGATCATCACCTTAAGCATGGAGGGCGTATGCAACTCGGTTTGTTTCTCAAGGTTGTTTACTTCTAATTTTAACATGATTTTCTTATTTGGCATTTCAATACCACTATAGTAGCCGCTAGCTTGGTAATTTTTAGGTTAAGAGTAAAATATGTGCAGATCGAAATTGCTTCAGGAACTGCCTCTTAAAAGTACTAATAGCTGCTTAACAACATTCGAGCTAAAATATGGAGTATATAATTCATTTTTTTACTAAATGCTCAATAGCTTCACAAGTATGCTAGTTTATGTATCGAAAACCAATTTTCTTGTATCATCTTGCTGAAATTCTTAATCAAAACAACACAAACTTAAAATGCAATTTCATGATATTGTTGTATAGGTTGCACACTTTTGTACACTAGTAATATAATCTTGCTTCTTTATATTGAATTTGTAAGCATGGAAAATATTTTTCTTTTACTGTTATTGTAGCAACAAGAAAATATTTTCAGTTAAGCTTCTAGAAGATATGGTGATTCGGCTGTTTAGAAATTATGAATACTATCAAGAACAAGCTCGTATATTCTCTCATGGTGCTGAAATTTAGTTTTAACTCCATTAACAGGGTGTTGGACTAAATCTGGACGATGCCCTTGCATTCTGGAAAGCAGAATTCTCCCGAAAGGTTATCACAATGCTCTTATTTTACGTTTTCTGCTTCATTATATGATGATTGCATTTGATAATATAATGTTGATCCCAAAAATCTCAATGACGTTTTCGTGTAGTTTCACTATCAAATTTACTGATGAGTGTCTTTTATTGCTCTTAGTATTTTGCCAGTTTGTATTGTTAAATTCTTTTATTTTCACCATGTCACATCTTTAGATACTGTAATCTCATTTAAAGTTGTGGACAAAAGACACAAGGAAAACCGATTTTATTGGTGCTTGTCATGCTTCAACTCTTTGTTATTATTATTATTTTGAAACACATGGTTTTTCTACGACTGGCGTAGGTTGGTGCTGAAAAATTCGACAAGGAATATGCATACAGTATACGGCATAACTATGGCAAAGAAGGGAAGAGAACGGTAATTCTATCTCATTTACTAAATTATTGCTTGGAGTTCATGGATCACGCTTTGTTGAAATAATGATTCACTTATACTGAATTTTGTAGATACATGTGATGTAAAGCAGCAAATCAAACACAATATATATCTCTTTGAAAATGATTAATGGTTCAAAATAAGCGATTTTTACTTTTCTCCGAATTTAGGCTAATATACAATATGTTCTACATGTTTTTTTTGTTATGTTTCAGGACTACACACCCTATTCATGCCAAAAAATAATATCTTCAACACCTGGAGTTGGAGATCATCACGGCTGCCCTTATCGTCATTTCAGGTAATATTAACAGTCCTATTTTCATAAGAGGATATCTTGGAAAATCATTCAATTACATATATAATATATATATATATCTGTATGTATATATGTATATTTCAATTCCATATTCACAACTTTTTTAACTGTATGTTGTAGTGTGTGAGCATTGACAAAACCTGTTCCAATAATGCTTTACAAAAAAGATGCAGTAATTTGGTTTAGATAAATTATAGTAGACAGCAGTTTCATCGAACATCAAATTCTCTCTGTTTGCGTAGACTTTTTGAGGTTTAAAATTTTTCGATGTGTTTGTTAAAAAAATTGTTGTCGATAAATAGTGTTAAAGCTTTGAAAAGTGTCTGTAACACACCTAAACAGTTACAAGCACTAGATCATGACATTTTCAATCTTTGCTTGATATTTTCGCCCTTCTAATTCTTCGGCGACAAATGTAAATGTTGATTGAGCAGTGAGGAGAATTTGAGGGCCGCACTTTGCATGATGGGAGTAGGCAATCGTGCAGTCGAAAATGTGATGGATAAAGTTCGAAACAAACACTATCAGGTTAAGTGTACAAACAAATCTCTCTTCTTACCTACACTTTTTACCCTCATTTACGACAACGGATTATTTTTTTTATCCTATTGTAGCTAGCATGCACCTTGACATTTGAAGCTGTTCATGGTACATCCTGCGACGCAGGAATCAACCACCCGAATCAATACTACAGCGACAGCCGAAAAGCCTTGGAATCAAGGTTAAGCGTCAGCTGACTATATAATAATTAATGATGCACATCTCATTTAATATGGGATCAGAGTCGGGGGCGTCATTAATAATGCCAATCTCTTTAAGCTTTTAATCTTTTAAGTGCGACGATCATTTAACATTTCTTCTTTCCGAGCCATTTTTTGTGCAATGCAGACAATCTAATTGTTCTCCTTATGTTGTACGGATTCTTTCTTGCAGGGCATCGACAAAGGGCGCTTAGGTATGAAACCGTAACCAACTAATGTTATTACATATATGATTATGATATATTTATATATAATACTACTATGCTTAGTTTTTATGTGTTTCTTTTGATTTGATTTAAATAATTTTAATTTGAATTTGATATTAAAATAATATTTGATAAAATATTTTATGAGAGTAAAAAATATAAAATTTGAGAAGATTGTGAAAAAATAACAAAGTTTGTGATTGACAATTGGCATGTAAGTTATGGTATTTTGTAACTAGCTATATAATCAATAGCCATTTTTTTTAAAAAAATAATAAATAATATAAAGTATTTTTTATAAAAGTAAAAAAGTAAAAAAAAAAATATTTATTACAAAAAGTTAAAAAATTAAAATATTCTAACTTAAAATAAGTTATTTATAAATTTTTGAGACAATTTTTTCTACCTAGTACAAAAAATTAATTCATCTAATTTTTTTTAAAAAATAGAAGAAAAGTATATTTTAATGGGAAAAAAATATTGATATTCGTGCCATATTTTTAATCTTGTCATTGGCAGGAGATGAAATAAATTTATGTTAGATGATCTAAAAAGTTTTAAGTACAAAATTAATAATCAATGTAAAAGAATAAAAAAAGAAAAAGAGGTTGTTCATTGAATCACCTCTTTTGCGAATTTACCAATTAGGGGTTTATGATTTTGAATAATAGTAAACTTAAATATTTGCATATATAAAAGAGGTTGTTCATGGATTTTAATTTTATAAAGTTTCGATCGATTGATCGAGTGTTGGTTGTGTTGTTTGTTGAAAACCAATCTTGATCGAAACATCTATTTGTTTCGTTGTTTTGGACTTTATTATATCACAGACATTTGCCTTTCGCGGCGGCGACGACCCAGAATTGGCAACGATTTCGACTTTTTTCTGTCCCCTGCCAAGAGTCCGTGTCACCACGTACATTGCAGTGGATGTGTCTAAGATACAGAAGGAGGAGGAGGAGGAGAAGTATGATTTTCTTGTGCAGATTAGGGTGCCATCCAAGTCGGATTATGCCCAGCATCCCTTGCAGCGCGCTGCGATCGACATTGGATGTTGAGGATAATCTGACTTGGATGGCGCCCTAATTTGCACAAGAACATCGTACTTCTTCCCCTCCTCCTCCTTTATCTTAGACACATCCGCTGCTGCAATGTACGTGGTGACACGGACTCTTGGCAGGGGACAGAAAAAAGTCGAAATCGTTGGCAATTCCGTGTCGTCGCCACTGCAAAAAGAAAATGTCTGCGATATAATAAAGTCCAAAACAAGGAAACAAACAGATGTTTCGATCAAGATTAGTTTTCAACAACCAACACGAAACTTAATTTATAAAATTAAAATCCATCAACAACCTTTTTTATATATGCAAGCAAATATTTAAGTATGCTATTATTCAAAATTCCAAACCCCTAACCGGTGAATTCGCAAAAGAGTTGATTGAGTGAACAACTTAGTGTGGATGAAAGAAGCAGAAGTCATCTTGAAGTCTAGTCTAAGTGTAGTCCAGTCCAGTTTGTTCTCTTCTAATTAAATTTGTTGATCACAAAAGTACCTGCTACGTATATACAAATACAATACAATGCCTAGTAAAAACTAACAAGTTCATCGATTATATATATATATATATATAATTCCAACGAAAGAGAAATCAAATTAGACAATGCATGTTTGGATCGGTACGTACGTGTACTTGTAAGATCGATCAGGATAGTCAAAAGAATTTAATTTCCAAACTTTTTTAGGGTCTCTCAACACATGCATCAAGAAGCAGATGAACATTTAGCTAGCAATCAAAATTATTAATCAAGCATACTCCAAGAACAAGTATAACTAATTAATTGCACAAGATTAGAAATGAATGGAGATTGATACATTAGTTATGGGAAGAGATCCAACTTGCGCGTTGACGAAGAACTCAACAGTAAATTCATGAGTGGGTACTGAACCGATTCTCGATGATTTTGTGAATGTGCAGTAATATGTATCTCATCTTCTCTTCTTGGAGAGGGTTTTGATCAGTTCTGTTCAAATATAACTGCGCTCCTCATCTCCTGTTTAAACTATAAAAATAAAATGAAGATTAATTAGGGGAATTGAAGAAAACTTACACGTGGACAAGCTGAGCCTGAGCCTGAGCCTGTAAAAATCATGAGTCGGTGGTGGTGATTCTCTATGATATATTTTGAACCTATAGTCTCTCTTTCACTCACTTATTTGTGATTAATTCCATCTATTCAAACATCAACCGCCATTCCCATTCCAATTGTTTGTTTAAAATATTCGTGCTTTCAATTTTATTTATTTATTTTACTTCGAGGGGTTTTTTTTAAAATAAATTAGATTATATATTATTAAAAAATATATTGTAAGTTAATTTAGTACATCAACAACGCAGCAGCAACAACAAATAAAAAATAAAATATAAATCAGTAATTTAAGATAGATATATTACAATTTTTATTTTTTTTTATTGTTTTACATAAATTTTTCTAACAAATTAAAAAATATTTTTATCTAGAATTTATTTTTTTAAAAAAAAAAAAAAAATTGATTTAGATGCATGTTTTGATAATTATGTTGATATTTTCGATTTTATTCTATTTACTAGTATCTTCAATTTATGTCTCAATCGATAAACGCAGGAAGGCGTGTTCTCGCCACCGATCGATCTCTTGAAGTTGAACCAGCCACCGATCGATCTCTTGAAGTTGAACCAGCCACCGAAGCTCAACACAGAAAGTGTTGGACACTGATTCGGCGGAGGCTATCACAAGAAAAGAAAAGAAAAGAAGCTTGTGTAATCCTCCTCTGGTTCTTGCTCCGACACCATCTATTATTATTATCTACTGTGCCGCAGGAGGACGGGAATATTTTGTTTTGTTTTGTTTTGTTTTGTTTGTATATATTATCTCTCTCGCTCTCGTAAGTTTATTTTTGGCTGGGCTGGGCTGGGCTGGTGTCTGTCTGATGATGCTTCTTTTGTTTTTAGTTTTGGATTCCGCGGCGTTTGGTTTGGTTTGGTGATGGAATGGGAATATGGGATGGGATGGTAATGAGGAGTACTTTTGTTTGATTTTTCAGTTGTTTAGTCGGATCTAATCAATAGCACTGTGAAATCGAGTGTTGGTTTTGGTGTCTATTGTTTTTTAATGAGCTTGCTTGCTTCTGTTGGTGATTATTTTCTTCATCTTATGATTTATTGGGTGGTATGTAAGGTAAGTGTTCCAGTGAATGTCTGTATCAGATGGATGGATCATTCTTGTTGTATTAATATTATACTCCACATGTTTATTTAGTTAGGAAGGCGTTGAACTTTTGTTGTAATTAATATGGATTTATATATATATATATGCTCATCCATCTAAAGTGGGTAGAATTTCTTGGTGGATTCGTTCAACATTCAGTCTAATTGGTTTTGATTATTCACTTGGTGGTTTCATTCATATGTTCATAAATGGGTAATTGCTCTCTTGTACTTACCTACCTACCTTGTATATTTATTTATGTTTTTTCTTCTTATATATGCTTGGAGTTGGAGTTGGAGTAGTCATAGTTAGTGCCTTAAGCAAGCAAGTATAGTATAGTATAGTATAGTATAGTGTTATTCTTGTTCAAGTGATTAATAATAAATTTCGGTCTGTAAAGGATTTGATTGCTGGCTAATATTAACTTAAAAAATTTACGAAATAAGCAAGCAAACGGTGAGAGAGCATCAATTGCTTCGACTTTCAAACCAAACCAAACCAATCTCACTTGATTCTTTTGTTTGTGTTTAGATATAGATGCAGCTGCTGCTTTGCTGCCGGTGATTGTCACATTAAAATTTATTTCTCTTCTGATGTCATTGGTGTCACCAATTTTAGCTGCTGCTTGTTGTGTAAGTGTTGCTGCAAAGGATACAACTATAACTATATATAGTAAGCAGATGAGATCAGATCACCTCACCTCACCTCTGCAGCAATTCACCAACCTAACCTGGATGGGATAATCGTGGCGTGGCGTGGCTGGGGAAGAGAAATCGGTTAATTGGCTACATGATCGAGGTGGCGGCAACAGTCCGGTGCCACTGTTGATCCTGCCTTTGCCTTTCAGGAGAGCCATCCGTCCGTCCGTCCATTAAATGCTCCACAGTCAGTCACCCCCACCCCTCTGAAGGGAATGGTTGTTTTTCAAGGCACCTATCTTCCGGTAAATAACAAATTCATGTTCGAATCTTTCTACTTTAAATATCATATAAAAATAAATGTCGAGCAAAAGAGAATAAACCACCCATACTTGTCTTCTCTGTCCCTACATTAATTATTTATCACCCACCATCATTGCATTGCACTCAAGTTGAAACCATATTATATCCGCAATTTGTTTCTTTGTTTGTTTTCTTAATTTGTTAACATGGTTAAAGGGGCGAGTCCTGATTTGGTGTTCCAACTACATGATAGTGATAATGCAATGCAAGGATATTTGTCAAATTTGTCGATTCGAATTCCAAGGTACGTACGAATGCTTGTATTTCTCAAAGTGTGTTTTGGATTATTTTTCTTTTGTTTGTCTTATACGTTTTTGTTACTACGTGTGTAATTTTTTTGTTTTTAGTTTGTTGCCTGCTTTTTGATATTGGGGTTGCAGCCGCCGCCGCTGCCTGAAAAGCTGCTGCTGCTGCTGCTCGCCGGCTATTTCTTTCTTGCGACATTGTGCCTCAAAAGTATGTAACTTTGCGCTTTGGTTATTAGAATAATGTAGATTAGTGTTGCTTTTGCAAAAGTGATATGGCGTCGATTAGAGGATGTGATATGATTAATGCTTTTCTTTGATTAAATGCTGCCTATTGAAATATTAACGAGGTTCATGGCGATTAACACACTTGATTTCTCTGTCAATTCAAGTCGTATTTTGTGGATGGCTTGTTGACATCCATTGAAGGTGGACCAACAAATATTTTTTGGACATTAACAACAGTTTTCAGCTTGGTTAACTAACATTTGTGATGATATAACCATTTGATATTCTTTAGTTGTTTAGGCTTACACCTGTTGTTGGTAAGGATGACAATTTTTGCACTATGTTTATTTGTTGTTAACATATATTTTAGATTGATAGAAAGGCCGCCACTTTCATTAATCAATGCAAGTTAGACATGGAAGTAGCAGTCTCCATTGTCTCCTAACTCATCTCTGAGATAAATCATAAGTTCGACCATAGACTGTTAGCAGGCCACGCCGAGTCATATTCCCTTAACTCGACAAAAATGTATGTGGCCGGAATTATGAGCAGCATACATCTAAAAACCTAAATTCATTTTCGTGCATATAATGTGAAAAAAAATTCACACATAAGATATCATTGTCATCACTTGTTTGCAGCTTGTAGGACTTTCAAGAGAGCAGTGGAGGCATAATTTTTCTTTGAGATTCCGAAGTTTTTGGATTAGGCCTTAAACTCACTAATGCAGACCGTGTAATTGGGGTGATCCTGCATGGAATCCAAGGTATGACTGTAATGTTTTACAAATTTTGGTTGTTAGTTGTTTGGGGGAAAGTGGTGTTTGTTTTTAAGAAATTTTGAAATGGACTTCGTTTTCTTGAAGGTTAATCCGGATGAGGTAATCCAATTTTATTCAATTGTCGAAGAGATTTCATGCTTCAATAATTTACTATCACTGCAATTATAAAACCTGTATTTCTTATGATTTATTATCCTTACATTCCCTATGCACGAAAGAGGAAAAAAATAAACATTAAAATCTTGCACACTTCATTTCTGTTGCAGATTCAAAAGAAAGAAAAGAAATGTAGATTGAAATTTGTGTAAGGCCCGTTTGGATTGACTTTTAGTAAGAGCTTTTGGCTTTTTGTTCTTTGAAAATAAACACTTTGTAGTGCTTTTTTAGAAGTACAGGGGGTGGTGTGTTTGTTTTGTGAAATTGTTCGAAAATGAAATTTTTTTATGTGAAGTATAGAGAATTGTGTAGGAAATATAAAAATAATGAATGTGTTTAGTGTATTAATTTTTTTGGAAAATCGTGCTGGGAAAAACAATAGAAAGAACAAAGTCAGGGTAACTTCTTAAATAATCAAGAATCACTTTTTAACCGTTTAAAAGCACTTTCAACTTTATTACATCAAACGAATTCATCCAATCACAAAATAAAATTGCTTCTCCTTTTGGCTCCTGCTTAAATGGCCCCTAAGTTATGGCAAGGGTAGTTGAGAGATGTCTTTAATGGCGTGATCTCTGCTTTGAAGTAAATGCACAGCTCATTTGTGCAGGGAACAAAAATTTAATCATAGATTATGTTTTATAGGATATGAGGGTACTTGGCAATCTTGATGTCTCTTATATCATAAGCATTATATATTGGCAAATGTAGAAATGTATTAGCATAAAGTTTCTCTTTCCCTTGGTTGTTGGTATAGTAATATACAATGGACTGATTTACTTTTTATGTGTATATTTTGCTTTAGAAAAAAATATGTTGTAGTATAAACACGGTAATTTGAGGATCTCTTTTTTGTACCAAGCCCGCATTCATATGCTCTACGTGTGTGTAACAAATCATTGGATGTAAGATTGGGATTTTATATATTTTTCGTTTCTAAATAGAGTTTTTATGCAAGTGCTAATATTGGTGTTGTATTATTGTTCCACTTCCAGATTTGGAGATGATGAGTGAATGGTTCGATTTTCTTAAAGTGTTTCTCCCTGGGAGAGTTTGCATGTGTATATCTGCAAAGGCAATGGCAATAACCGGCATTGATGACGGAAGGTATTGGAATTGGGTTCCGACGGAGGAGTCAAGGTTAGTATTTTGATCCTCTCGGCATTTGGACTCATCTATGAAATGATATCTGAACCAATCAATTTTTTTTCATGTGATCATACTTTATGAATTTCTTTTGTTAATTTTTGTGTTTAAACTTGATCATGATTTTGTTGGCAATCTTACCAAACCTTCAATGTTACATACTGCTTTTTTGTGTGGGGGGTAACAAAGCTGGTATGGGTTCATTTTGTAGCTATTAGAGACTATTGAGAAGAATTTTTGCGACATTGTCCATATGTATGTTGCTGAGAAAGAGCTTCCTCTTGACATGGTGAAAAAATGATTAAAAAAAGAAGGTAAAGTGGTTCCTGTGACAAAATCTTTTTTCTCAAACTGCTGGTCCCTGCGACATTTCACACCAAAAATGAAAAATTCTTTGTTACAGCCTGATCTTCACGTAAGAGGGGAAGATATTGATTCTAATAGATACTTGGCAAGAAGCTTTAGGGGGTCCGAGAGCAAGATATCTCCAATTCTTTGCAGCTTATCGGGAATTATTGGTATGTCATGCTAGCTAGCATATTCTTGACTCGTCATTTGATTTTATTTCAAATCTAATTGCCTAGGTCTAGGGGTGAGCAAAATATCCGAAATTCGAAAATTCAATCCGAATCAAACCGAAATTTAAAATTTTGGTTGAGATTTTTCGGATTGGATCGGATTGAATTTTTAACAAATTTCGAATTTTCGGATTGGATCGGATCGGTATACTTAAAATTTGAACCAATCCGAAATCTGAAATATAATATTTTAATATATTTTTTTATTATATATATTTAATATTTTATTAGAAAATATTATATTTTAATATAAAAAACTCAAATTTATTAATTATATTTTAATATATTTAATTTTTATATATTATATATTTAATATTATAAAATAATAATAAAATATAAAAGAATTTAAAATTTTAAAAAATAATAATAAAAATATTTAGAATTTCGGATTTTTCGGTTTAGTTCGGATTACGGATTTTCAAATTTCGGATTTCGATTATTTTGGTTTGGTTCGGTTCGGTTCGGATTAGTTTTTTCAAAAATTTCGGATTTTCGGATCGGTTTGAATTTGACAAAATCCGAACCGAAAATCCGAATGCTCACCCCTGCTTATCTATGTAAGATGATGTCAATTTATTTCTTTTTATGAAGACAAATTTGGTTCGAGTGGATGGGTGGGTGGGCGAATGATTTGATTTGCAATTTTTTATACAAAGATTAAGAAAATATCTGATTTAAATTTTAATTTTATAATTAAAAACTGAATTAATTAATTATGAAAAAATAGATATTTTTTATTTTTTTAAAAAAATAAAATCAATATATTTAATAATAATAAATTAAATTATTTAATATAAAACCTCTTAAATTGGGGGCGAGCAGTTGCTCATTCCAATCTCGCTAAAAATCCCTTATGGGTATGCATCTATATTTGCACAAGTACACACTATGATGCTTCTTTCTAAACCTACTTAGGTACATAAATAAGATTATGATTATGATATTTTTTATACATGTTATTATGGGCGGCGGCTACAATGCTTTGTGCTTAATAGCACACCGTGTGCCATCATAAACAATACACAATATATTTTAATATAATACAAATACAACACATGACATAACACTATGTTATATAATTTCATACAATATATACAATACTTTATTTTAGCACACGACATATTTTCATACAACATACATTATAATTATGAACTAACAACACATGTTGTATATAATAAAGACATGTGTTATTTCTATATTTTGCGTGTGCTGATTTAAAGAATCACCATGGTGTTGATTTTTCAAATTCAGCCGTATCCTCCCCTATTATTACGATGCTTACTTGAGATCCATGAACGCTCGCCTTGTTTGCTCGTATATGTGTATATATATATATATGCACATATTTTCGTATGGGTTTGTGTGTTTTGGTTGAATTTGGAGAAAAAATTGATTTGAATTTGATATTCAAAATAATATTTAATGAGATGTTTTACTAATAAAAACAAAAAAAAAAACAAATTTTAAATAGTAGAAAAATTAAATTAAATTAAAAAAACACATTCGTAACAATTGGCATGTAAGTTGTCGTATACTGTAATTGTTTAGAGATAGAGAGAGAGAGGTCTTTTTTTTTTTTTTTTTTTCTGAGTGACACATTCAATGTGAAGGTAAGATGTCTGGTGATCGTGGTGGTGGTGGTCACTATCACTTCATTAATTACGTCTGGTGCTATACTGTAGACACGGTATTCTATAAAGAGTGTAATTAGTAAATAATTAATAATGTATTAGTGAAAATAATTATTCGATAATATAAATAATTATAAATTAAGATTAAGATAACTAATTAGTTTAATTAAAATTAAAAAAATAATAATAATAATAATAAAATGTTTAAAATGAAATTAAAGTGTATAATCATTTTCCAAAAAAGGAAAGTGACATGGTATGTGGGACGGAGGGAGTATTTAATATTTTTATTTTAATTCGTCTTATATAATTTAGTTTTTTTAGTCTTTGAAAATTAATTGTACATTATTAATAAATTATATTAATTTTAATTTATAATTATTTTTATTAATATATTTCTATACGTATAAATATGCACATTTTATCAACAACGAATAGAGTAATAATAAAGACTCCACATCTGAATTAAACATATAATCTCTGGCTCACAAATAAACTAAGATGGTTAGAGTGTTGATTAAGGATTATTTATCATTTATTCATTATTTGTCCATCAAATTTATATTATAACAATTAGTATTATTTTTTGTTTTAGGTTAGATTTATATATAATTTATTTAGGATAATACTTTATTTATTTATAATTTTATATCCATTAAGTTTGCCACAAATGACTCATATTTTATTTTTGGTAAAATTTTCAATCTTAAAATACACTGAAAAAAAATATAAATTAATTTAATTAAATATTTAATATTTATATTCAAAATTTCTTTATTTCTATTCCTTTCTCAGTCAACAAATATTTAACTAATTTAATTTTTATTTATTAAATATATTTAAAATAAATAAATTATAAAACATATATCTTTTACCACGACCAAAAAACAAAAGAAAAAAAAAAAAGGAGAGAGATCTTAAATCCACACACTTTTTTCAACCAGTAAAATTATGTGGTTTGTTTGAGCATGGAGATTAAAAATTAGTACTCCCTCCATCAAATAAGAAGAGTTTTATAATTTTTTTTTTTTTTCATCCCAAAACAGTGCATTATTTTTTAATTTAGTAATAGTATTATATATCTGATATAATAAATATTTTTTCAATTTATAATATAATATTATATAAACAACGTTACCTTTATATTATACGGTATTAATATAAATATTTTTGTCTTTTTTACTACAATTTAATATAATATTAATAATATTAAAAATTTTACGTACAAAAAACAAATGTTACCCTTTATATGAGACGGAAGGAATAGTAGAAGTTCCAAATAAAAATTGAATTTGTAGAAAAGTGAAATTTCTTATTTAATGAGACATAGAAAATTGATAAAGTAGTATTTTCAAATGTAACGGAGTGAGTATTCATTTATTTATTTATTAAAAAAAATAAAAATAAAATTTATTATATATACTAGTGTCCTTGTTTAATGTTTTAGTTTGTGAATGTCTTGTAAACAATTGATTGGAAAAACAAACTCAATATTATACAGTCTACTATAAAGTATATATATTTTTAAATTGGAACGTTCAATTACAAACTAATTATTTTATTGAATTTTTTTTTTTTTCACAGATATTCTTGGGGGCTATTTGGTTCAAAGATTTTTTTAATGGAATTGGGATTTTGCAGTAGGATTTTACATGTGATAGGATTTATTGTATTTAGAATTTGAAATCCTATCATGTGTTTGATTGGAGCTGTTTGGTTCAAGGATTTTGATTTTTGATATTTTAAATGATGTAACTATCCTTCACGAGTAATATTTATTGTAATAAATTAAACTTTATATTCTTTGTTTTTTTCCATAAATTTTATTTTTTACTATATTTAGAGTATTCTAATAGAAAAATTAATATGATTTTCGATTAATAATAAAAAATATAATATATATATCCATACAAAATATATATTGTAATACATAATCTATACATTAAAAAATACAAAAATTTAATTATTTTTTATACTATCGACATTTTTTTCATATTTAATATAAAAAAAATATTTTAAATTAAAAATACAAAATTAATACACTAATAAAATAAATATAAATTATTAATTGATATTTTAAATTATTAATTTATTTAAATTGTTATTAATAAAATAATTAAATATAAATAACATTAATAATTATAAATAAATATATGAATTGTAGTAGTATGCTTAAATATAATATTATATATTATAAAACCAATAAAATATAATTTAAATGTAAATATATATACATTTAATATTAGAAAAAAAAAAGAAATATAATTTTATTTTTATGGAATGGTATAATGAATATAAAATGCAATGACATGGAATTTTAAAGTAATAAGGATCCCCTGTTATTGAAAAATCTTGCATTTGCAGGATTTTAAAATCTCATGCACTTAAAATTTCATCATCAATTTTATAACCAAACATGGATTAATTAGGATTTTTCAAATCCCATCGAATCCCACCAAATCCACGAACCAAACAGTTCCTTAATTTATGTCACATCGTTACTTTTATATCAAAAAGTAAGAGCAAAAATATTATTACACTACTTTTATCATTAAAAAAATTATAATTTTTTAAATTTCGCGCCAAAAATTAAATAGTATATATTTATATTTATTTATTTAAAAAAAAAATAAATTCACAATGCTCTTTATTCTTTGTTTGATATTATTACAAAATTTGTACTTTTATGACAAAGAAAAGTCATTTGATAGAGATTGTTTTGTTTTACCATCTATTTATATATTTAAATATGAACTACAATTATCGCCGACGACATTGAAATAATTTATTTTATTTTAGCATATGCTTATTTGCATTTTACTTCATTGAAGTTTTAGTAAAAAATTATTTATTTTCATTTATTCCGAAAAATGTTTGTTTTGTTTAGTGCTATAAATATATATATATATATTTATTCCATAGTATTAAATTGTTAGCTTTTTAAAAATAATAAAATATATATTATATATATTGTGTATATATATTATATATATATATTAATATCAATTGAGAACAATGTCGGCAAAATATTGTTTGGATGAAATTGTTTATCTGTGTGATTTTGATTTTGGGTGTTGATTTTAAATAGTAAAATTTTGAATTGAAATAGTTATTTGATATGATATAAATATGTATTGATATAATATTTTAAATATAAAATTAAATTTTAATATAATAAAATAAATACAAAAATGAGTAATTTATTTGATTTTTTGGATTAAAAAAAAAATTAAAAATAGTAAAATCGGAAACCAAATTTCATGAGTAAACAAACCCTAATCAGTTTTTTTTTTTTTTTCACTACAACGGTAGTTTCATTTCCTTTAAAAAGGTCATAGTTACTGCTTATTTTTATTAAAATATAACATTAAATATTTATTTTCAATTTAATTATAATTATAAATGATTTAATTTTGTTATATGCAAACCAAAAACTTCACCGTCAAATCATTCTTTAATTTGTCTCCATTTCAAAATTTAATATATATAAATTTATTAAAATTTAAGTACTCCCTTCGTTTCGTTGAAATAGTGGCGTTTATTTTTTTCATATAAATTTATTAATATTAATATTATATTATATTGTAGTAAAAAAGACAAAAATATCCCTATTAGTATAGTGTAATATAAAAGTAATGAAATTTGTGTAATATATTGTAAGTTGGAAGGGTATTTATTATGTTAGGTAAGTAATACAATTACTAAATTAAGAAATGATTATCTTGTTTTGGAATGAACCAAAATGAAAAATGACAACCTTTCAATGGGACGGAGGGAGTATTAATTTTAATAACGGGGCCGGGTCAGACACGGTCCAACTTCATTAGCGTGTGGAGTCAAGCACAGCCCAAAAAATTTTGGACCTATTTTTGGAGATTCAAACAATATTTTTTTATACCGTGTTCGAACCAGACTTTCGACCGTGATTATTTTTGCTACCTCTAATTCTTCAGTATATATTATTGTCAGATTTCAAACTA